AACTACAAGCCAATATCTCTGTGTCAACTTGGCTCAACCATAGTGCCCAGATGTTAGTTCAAACATTCTACTGGATGTTTCTGTGCAGGGTTCTTTTTCAAGAGATTATCATTTCAATGGGTGGAGTTTGAGTAAATCAGACCCCCCTCACCCCGTCAATGTGTATGCGCCAAATCCAATCAATTCTAGTTCTGAATAGAACACAGACTGACCTTCCCTGAACAGGTGGAAATTCTCCCGGTAAACTGCATTTGTACTCAAACTACAATTGTTCCTCCGGGTACACGACTTGCTCGTCTAGACTACAGATTTTTGACTTAACGAAGTCTTTATATTCACACAAGTCACTTCCTTAAAACAGGAACAGAAAAGAAAATATATATGTATAAACACACACGCACTTACACTCACATCGTGTTGGTTCTGTTTCCCTGGTGAACCCTGACTAACACCATATTTTATTTTTAATATTTTATAAATTGAATACGTGATTCATTTTAAATGGGAAGCCATTTTCTTTGTGTAATTCTCTAAACAATTTTTAGGAAGTGTTCAATACCTTTTTGCAAACTGTAAAAAATAAACTTTTTGCTTTATTCATACATAAAATGAAAATTGATGTTAGAGCTTCTTCCATCCTATTTCCTACTGGTGAGTATTGAGTGGAATGGGCTTCATACTAAATGTACTATGATGGCAAAACAATGAGCGAAGCTCTGCCAACCTACTCCCTAATAAAACTGGTGAAAATTATTTTAATAAACATTTAAGCCACTGGAAATGATCCTAAAGGCAAATAGGAAATGAACACTTATTCAAGAAAATCTATGAAGTTTTGTAAGAAACATGAAAGTGTGATATTGGCATGAAAAGTACTGCCTCCATAGCTCCTCCTAGCTCACACTGGTGAAGACCCCACTCCAGACTCCTGCAGTCTAGAACACATGGCACCCTGTCAACTCAGCTCCCACTAACAGGGCTATCTTCCTGAGAAGAACAGGACATCAACATCTCAAACCTTGTGCCAAGCTACCTGTTGCTGAGGGTAAATAAGTGCTGGGAGAGTGTGCTTGAAAAGTGGGGACTCCATTGTTTCAGTCCCTACACATGGAACTGAGGTGATGCCTTGGAGTGGTGTGCTGATAGTACTTGGGAGCTGATCACCCTTGTTCCATCTCATGAGGTGAATGTAACATAAGTCACTTGTGAGGGGCCAGGAGACACAATTGAGAGGACCTCTGGCTGCTGTCTCTTTAGTGCACTGAGCCCTCAGCTCCTAAAATGGGATTGTCACTCAGAGAGAGGCTTCCCGTTGTCCTCAAAACAGCTCCAGGGTCCTGGCATAGAGATTTTGCCTGAACATGGGGGTGAAGTGAGCCATAGAACACAAAGCTCTTAATCACTTTCCAAAGAATTACCTTGGTTGGCCCAAGATCCTGAGAAGTTCAAGTCAAAGGACACTCTTAAGAAAGTGGTAAAGGAGGTGAAAGGCATTTAGAAGTAGGTTCATGTATTTATTGAAGATACAGCCTAGAGTGTAAGCTATTTTTCTGAAAAAAAAAAAAATAGAGAATTAGACTGCTGAGTGGATGCTTATGATGCTCAGAGCAAATATCACCTAGTGACTTCAGAAAATGTTTCTATAAAGGAGCCAGAATTTTATTGAATTGATTGGTAGGGCAATTTATGCCCCCCAGGATATTGGTGAAATCAATAGAGCAACTAGCCAGCAATTAATGGAGTCTAACCAATGGCTGTGGCTCATGAAAGAGAAAGAGAACCCTCCCCATATCACTGTCCCAGGAGAGTAGGCTTTCCCAAAGCTATGTCCAATTCCAAGAGCTATGTCAGAGGTTTCACTCTGTGTGGAGGACACAGACTTAAATCCAGCCAATCAGTTGAACAAATAAGCCAATTACAGTGAAAACCACCAGAAGGAAGGGGACTAGTACCTGGGGTTACTACAATCTATTACCTAAAATGTCTGATTTGCAAGAAAATTACAAGATATGGAAAGATACAGGACAGTAGGAACTACACACTGGGAAAAAATAGCAGTTGAAAAAATGACCAAATTCTTACAAGGAAACCCCAGTATAATTAACCACTGACATCTCAGCAGAAAAAAGGAAGGTCAGAAGGCAGAGGGGTAACATGTTCAAAGTACATAAAGAAAAAAAACCTGTCAACCAACAATCCTATATTCACCAAAACTACCTTGTAAAAAAGGAAAGTGAAATAAAGACTTTTCCAGAAAAAGAAAACTGAGAACATATATTGATAGGCAACTGTCATGCAGGAATGACTGAAGGGGTTCTTCAAGCTGAAAGCAGGTGACCCCAGATGGTAAATCATGTCAATGTAAAGAAAGTAAGACGAGTATAAGTAATTATGTAAGCATGAAGGACAGAATCAGTACCTACTTTCTCCTTTCTTCTCTTAACAGATATCAAAGGAATTGTATAAAATACTTTTTATGTAAAGTGCTGTTGGGACTATAATCCATAAATATGTACTGTATGTGTAACACGTTTTCCATTAAATGCAGAAAAGACATGGTGAGACCAAGCCGTATTGAGCTAAGGAAATTACTATAGATGGTAAAGAAATAAATGTAACAATATATTATTGGGTTATATCATTAATAGACATTATCTGCATAACAATACCACAAAAGGGAATAGGGCTATATATGATTAATGTTTTCATTCATCACTGGTCTCAAGGCCGTATAAATCTGAAACTCATTCTTGTAAATTAAGAAGTATATGTTAAACAGTAGAGCACCCCACAAAAAACTTCAAAAATATAGTGAAAATTTTATTTAAAAATTAAAATGCTGCATTAGAAAATATTCACTTAAAGCAATAGAAAGTTATAAAGGAGGAACAGAGAAACTAAAAAGAACATGAAAATGATAGAAAACAAAATGTGAAATGGCAGGTGTAATTGTAAGTATGTCAATACTACTAAATGTGAATAGATTACATTATTTAATAAGGAGGAAGAGATTTTCAGCTCAGATTAAAAAAATAAATAAAATCATGATCTAAATATTTGCTGTGTACAGAAAGCATACTTTTGATTCAAAGATAAAAATAGATTGAAGGCAAATGCATGGGAAAGATACATTGTAAACAGCACCCACAAGATAGCTGGAGAGTTAATACAAATATCCAGCCAAATAGACTTGAAAACAAACAGCATCACTACCGATATTGAGGAGCATTACATCATGCTGAAAGGGTGAAAGTTTATGGGCTGCATCTTAAACACAACATAGAAAAAGATTTATAACCATCTATGCCTATACAAGCAAAGAAGAGAGATATCAAATTAATAACCTAACATTTCACCTAAACAGACTTGAAAAAGTGAGGGACCAAACCCATAGCAAGGAGAAAAGGAGATAATAAAAGTAGAGCAGAAACTAATTAAATGAGGAAGAGAAAAACCACAGAAAACACTCAACAAAACCAAAAGTGGGTTCTATGGAAAGATTAACAAAGTCGATAAATCTTCACCTAGATTAATCTAGAGAAAAAGAAGAAAGATTCACATTAAAAAATCAAGAAAAAAGGATATATTACTACTGATATTACAGAAATAAAAAGGATTATAAAGGAATTCAGTGAACAATTTTATGGCAACAAATGATGTATCTCAGATGACTTGGATAAATTCCTCAAAAGACACAAAGTATTGAGACTAACTGAAGAATTTATGGAAAATCTGCATAGCACTACAATAAATGAAGTAGTAAAATCCATAAACAAAAAGCCCTCTAAGTAAGCCTAGGCCCAGTTGGCTTCAACTCAGAATTCTCCAAAACACTCACAGAAGGCTTATTACAGATTCTTCACATACTCTTCTAATTAATAGAATGGAGACAACATTTCACATTTTGTGAAGTCAGTACTACTCTGATACAAAAACCAAGTGTATCGCTGAAAAAGCTACACCCCTATTTCATTTGTGAATATGAATGCAAAAAACCTCAACAAATACTAGCAAGCCTAATCCAGCAACATATAAAAAGAATTATATACCATGACCAAGTGGGTTTATTCCAGGGATGAAAGGTTGGGTTAACATCTCAAAATCTATTAACATGATAAAGGATATCAATAGAGTAAAAATAAAAAATGGCAAGATAATTTCAACAGACTCAAGGAAAATAATTGACAAAATCAGTACCCTTGTATGATTAAAACACTCAGCATACCAGGAATAGAAGAGAATTTCCTTACTTGACAATGAGCGTTTGTGAAAAACCCACCACTAATATTATATTTAATGGTGAAAGATTGGATGCTTTCCCCTGAAGATAAGGAAGAAAAGAATGATGTCTGCTCTTGCCATTTCTATTCTAGAATGTACTGGAGATTTTAGCCAGAACCATTAGGGAAAAAAAGGAAATAAAAGGCGCTCAAATTGGTTGGGAAGATGTAAAACTCTCTCTACTTCCAAATTAAGTATCTTGTGAGGGATTCAGAATATGTCACCTCAAAATATGGCACCTTGGCATATTGATTATTTTGAATTAAAGGTGCTTGAGAAACAGCCTTTGCAAGGAAGATACTCTGGCCCTTCTTTGTCCCCCTGAAAGCAAGAGAGGATTTATTTCCCTATGTGAACAGTACCCTCCTTGAACCAGGAGGGCAGAAGGCAACCTTATCACCAGAAACAGAGAATGTGGGGCTGAGGAGGCTGGATAAACAAACTTTGTTATTTCTTCACCTTTTGCTATCTCTAGCCCAAACCCCAAAGCCCAATTCTTCCAAAATTGATTGTTTCTTTGTGTAAAAGGCATAAAATCTTCCTGCTTTTGTTACTTCGAGTCTCATATTTTTATGGTGCTCCCATACATAGGTAATTAAATTTGTTTTTCTTCTGTTAGTCTGTCTCATGTCACTTTTAATTATTAGATCAGAAAAAGAAACTAGAAGGGAAGAGGGGAAATGTTTCCGCTCCTACACTTGCATAAAGAAAACACTGAGAATTCCACCAAAAAAACTTGTAGAACTGATAATTGAATTCTGCAATATTGCAGGATACAGAGTAAAATATAAAAATGAATTGTATTTCTATATACTTGCAATGAACAATCAGATAAAGAAATTAAGAAAATAAGTACTGGGGCTAGCCCCGTGGCTTAGAGGTTAAGTGCACACGCTCCACTACTAGTGGCCCGAGTTTGGATCCTGGGTGTGCACTGACGCACACTGATGCACCGCTTGTCCAGCCATGCTGAGGCAGCGTCCCACATACAGCAACTAGAAGGATGTGCAACTATGACATACAACTATCTACTGGGGCTTTGGGGAGAAAAAGGGGGAATAAAGGAGGAGGATT